TGAATGAATGAATGAATGAATGAATGAATAAATCCCCACACACATTTTGTTTAGAATCACCCCAATCGATTTGGGATTCAGAGTCAGGCAAAATCACATATGAGACTTTGCCCCTATAAGATTAGTAAGGATACAAGGGATAGAGTGACCTTGACATAGGGCTTTTTTCTCTCTCATTTCATTTCTCTCTTCTAGAGAGAGCAACATGTCCACTGGTGATTGTCATGTTGTTCTTCATGGAATTGCAAGTGGACATTTGCCACCCTGCTTTATATCCCATGAGATTCTCCCCCCTAACCTTTAAGATTTTTCTTCCTATTACCTGACAATAGTATTTTTCTTCCTCTCTCTGTACTTTCTCTTCACCCATGACTAAATGTCCAGCGATCTCCACCCATTAAAACTCACTCTCTTGAAAGAACCTGGTATGTGTATGTAAACTTATGTTATAGTCAACACATTTCAAGTGATAATTAATTCAGTAATTGGATACTAGATTTAAAATATAAGGAATTCAATTCCTGTGCCCTACCGATGCTGGTATTCTAGGGCCTAGCAGGATGTAGGGAAGTTGCCTACGTTCTTTCTCCATGTAAAACTGGTCCTGAGTTTGTCATCATAGTAACCTCAAATGCTGGTGTCCTATTTTACGGTTTTAAAAGAGCTTGACAACCATTATTGCATTTAGTTCTCATTTGACCATCTGTGCGTGTTAGCATCCCAGTGTGACCTCAGATGGGGAGTCTGAGCTCTATCTCAGACAAAGAAGCTCTGGTGGATACAACTCATGGTCACTTGGCAGGCAGTGAGCTAAGAGCAGAACTGCCAACTGCCACCTTCTCTTCAAATAGAGCCACACCCCAGTGAACCAAACTGTGGTTCCTCACAGTAGGCCTTAATGAAGGACCGATGTTCTCTAAAGTGGATCTGAATTCATGGAGGGAAACACTTGGCCTAGCCATATCTGAACACAGAAAGAAGATGATATAGGACATTTTTGAGAGTGTAAATGTCTTGAAGCTTTTCAAAGAAAGAACAGTTTGTGATATCTTAGAAAACTTTCACTTCTTATGACTTAGCTATTAATGGATTTTTTATTTTTCCAGCAGATTCTAGAAAAAGAGGTCTTTGTCTGGGACCTGGAAGCTAAGTCCCAATGGCCCATTGGAGATGCAAGTTCTTTGAGCTGTCTCACTAACAACCCTTACGCCCTTGGGTAGTAGTGTTAAAGTGTTTTCTCTGAAATGACCTTCTTGGTTCCTTATGGTGGCTTCCCCAAACTTGTATGTGCCGGTAGAGCTGGAAAGAGGACTGGAATGGTTCTCTCCTGGCTTCCCATTATTATATGTCCTCACATTTTCATGTTCCTTCTTCTTGAGCTGAGAAATGATTCAGTGGCTGATCAGAGGGAGGCCCTGGTCCTGCTAGGCCAGCTCTATCAGGCCTGATTCTCCAGATCACAGAGGATTTGCCAGTAGACTTCTGGCCAATAATGCTGGCATTTTCCACCAGACTTGAATGTCCCTCATATGAAGGACAGAGTTGCCAGGGGAACTCTGGGGAAATTTCCTCTCTTCATTTCATGTACACACACATCTGTCCCAGCCTTTGGTATATCCCTCCATGCTCCCTGCTCCACAATTGGGGAAGATATGGTGGCCAATAAAAGGAGGCCATATGGAAACCTGAGAAATGAAACCAACTTGACTTTCCTGTGTAATAACATGTAAAATCTATCTAAGGAATGCAAACCAGATGGGGACATGGGGGGCCCAAGGCCCAAAAGCCTAAACTTCATACCTGCAGAAACTTGGCACATGGGGATATGAGAGACTCTGTGGAAAAGGTTTGTTTGTCTCTTTGTTTGTTTGTTTGAAGGTGCCATGAAGGTTATGTGTCCTTCAAAGCTCCTTTCACACTCGATGATTTACTTGTTCATTATTTAGATTTCATTTCTCCACATCCTCCTCAGATGATGTGAATGCAAATGAGAATTTCTCCACTGAGACTGATGTGTTCTCTCTGTGTCTGTATTCTCTATGGCCTTTGGAAGCCAGTGAAGAGCAGGGAGAAAAATAGGGTAAAGGGCAAGGCTACTCACTGGAATCAAGCCTATGAGAGAATGTCTCTGATACTCAGCTTGACAGAAATTACCATCCACTATGGCCCACACACCAGACTTTTTAAACCATGCTCTCATGAGGGAGGATACAGTCCTCTCTTCCAGGAGTCACTTCTGGCTTAGGACTTGTGAGACAGTCACAGGACTTTGCTAGAAGGAATTTCACAAGAGTGGTCTTTCTGAAAGCAGAGCAAAGAGCCATTGGACTTGCTCTTTGTTTCCACAATGGTGTCTTTCATCTCCTCTAGTAGTACAACTATAGTGTGTTGTCCTGACAGTGAAGGGAAATCTTCGGGGTACTCTGTATTTGCTACTCCATGGAGAGAAATAGTCATTTCAGGGCCACAAAGTCTTGGCATCAGCAGGTACCTAGCAGGGTTCTGTGCTTCAACCTCCCATCCAAAACAAGATGTCTTTCCATTGTGACTTGGAAAAACACTTACTGAGTTTTGGGGACAAAGACCTTACATTTTTGGAGGTAGCTTTCTCCATTTATTAGACATATTACATCCTTAGAAAGTTCCTTTATAAAACAAGCCAAAAATCTTCTTTCTTATAATATACACCAGTCAGTCCTAATTCTGGCCCCTGGAGGAAGCAAGACAAGCCTAATCCCTCTTTGGCATGGCAACACCTGTGGTATTCGGAGGCAACCATCTCGTCTCTGTGAAGGCATGGCCCTTCCTCAGGCCAAACACTGCTGGCTGTCTTAACTGTTCCTCCAAAAGTGTTTTCCAGAACCCCCACCTCTCCTTGTGCTTGTCATTTTTCTCTGGAAGTTATTCAGTTTATCCATTTCCCACCTTAAATCTGACGGTTACAACTGGATCAAGTACTCTGGAATAGCCTGACCAGTTCACAACAGAATGAAACATTCATTTCCCTTGATCTGGAGACCATTTCTAACAAGCAATCATTGGCCTTCTCTGTAATCTGTCACATGGTTGGCCTCTTTTTTGGTTTTTGTGTTTTTTCTTCTTTCCCCTCAACTCTGCTGCCAAGTTAGGTCTTCTCATTTTGAATTTATTCTTTTTTTTTTTTTTTTTTTTTTTAACCTAAATGCTGTACTTGACATTAAAGACCTTTAAAATCTTTTCTGGTTGGTTTTCTGCCCATTTTTCCAACCCTGGAGAACTTTTTGAATCTTGATTCTTTCAACCAACATATCATCTCTGACTCTGTACTTCGTGCCACTTAAAACTAATTGGATGAGCGTGCACCCGGGTCCTTATCTCAGGGTGTGACCTAACTGTTGAGTAGGATCAGTCCATCTGCAAGAGATTGTGATATGTCTACACTGTGAGTTGCCTGATGATTTAGGTCAGTGCTTCTCCAAGTGTGGTCCCCAGATCAGCAGCTCAGTGGCACCTCTAACTTATTAGACATGCAAATTCTCCACCCTCACCCTGTACCTTACTGGCTCAGAAACTCTGGAGGAGGGGCCACCAATATGTGTCTCAACCCTCTGGGTGATTCCGATGCCCACTCACACTTGGGAGCCATTGATCTGGAGTATTGGGACTGCAGACAAAAAAAGAATCTAAAATGCACAGGCATCTGACAGTCTGAGTCTATCTGAGAAGCCAATTTACGAACAATCTAGCCAGACATCTTAGTAGCATGGGCTGATGTGTCTGTCACAAGAGGAAATTCCCTCTGGACTCTGTTTGGCTACGTGACAAACCCGAGGGGGAGACCTGGGTTTGGGAGGTGCAGAAGCAGTGATCTGAAGAGAATACTGAAGACTGAAGTCTCCCGAATGGGAGAGTCAAATAAAACACCAAACACCAGACTCAGGCAAGGGAAAGAAAGGATGAATCTGAATGCCTTCTGAGCAGTTGGGCCATGCTGCATTTCCCAGAGGAGCTTTTCAACAATTGAATGTTTAGGAATGAAAGGTCTCATACCTTGCTTTTGCTTACACAGGCCCATCTGCTAAACATCCCAAGCTGGAACTGGAAAGAGGGGGATGATGCAATCTGCCTCGCAGAGCTGAAGCTGGGGTTCATAGCCCAGAGCTGCCTGGCTCAAGGCCTCTCCACCATGCTCGCCAACCTCTTCTCCATGAGGTCATTCATAAAGGTAACGTCTTGTCCTATTAGAGCACATTAGCCCCAGATTCAGTTTGTCGTGGGGTTGAGTAGAGAGCACAGCTTAAACTCAAAACAGATCGACTGGCTTTAACCACTTTGGTTAAAGAGAAATTCCTTGTTACAGAATTGGGCACAAGGCCAACTTCTTTCAAAATTATGTTTTTATTTTTATTTGGCACATCCATGGCCATTAAATGATTGTTCAAAGCACAATCCTCTCTTTTTTTTAGATAAACCACATGTTTATCTATCAACAAAGCCTCCGCTGTTAAAACAAAAATATGATTTATATACATTCCATATGGCACCAGAGCGCCTAAAGAAAAGAATTATCATTTTGCTCTTTTACATCAAGTGGCTGGTGGACCTCTCACTGTGCGGATAAATGCAGACCATGTGTTTGTGCTGAAGCCCAAACCTCAACAACATAATTCATTTATTTATTTCTGCACAATCAAGGAGGCCAGCAGGGCTGACATGCCATGGTTATTTGAATGGAGAGTGAATCTATGAATTGAACCCTCAGCGGCGGTGCCCTGTACCCCATGACATGAGCGGTCTGGGTATGCTCCTTGTCAGCTGGCTCACCCCACAGAGCTGACTGGGCAGCCACCTCAGAGCCTCCAAAGTGGACCTCGCATGTTGGACCAGCACGAGCAATGGAAGACCCAACTCTGTCCTCATAGGCCAGGCCAGGAAGACCCAACTCTGTCCTCATAGGCCAGGCCAGGCCAGTTTCTAGGACATTGCGTTGGGGGCCCAGGCCCCTACTAAGTGAGTTTAGGGAATGTGGGATAATGATAACCAGTTCTTATCCTTGGATTGTTCCTGGCCTAGACTGTCAAAGAGGCCGACCAGTGTGGTAAAATCTGCCTAGCTTGGGCCTTTCTGACATGGCATTGGTGGCTAGTAGCTCAGCATCTGGGCTTACCTTTGTAGTGACTGGGGTGGGAAATTAATGAGTTACCAGGAGATCTGACAAAGAAGGCTAGAAGCTGTGCAGTCAAAGGTGTGAGACCTCCGGCCCTTTGCCGCCATTACTGCTGTTCTTGGCACCAGTGGTTAGTCATGCGAGGCAGCTGAGGGAAAGGCCCTGGATGCAGTGAGAGAGATGAGTGGGAAGGGTGGGGCTGGAAGTGACGGACCAACTCAACGTGCATGCTCACCCTGGGCATCCACAGCTATGTGATTAGAGCAAGGCTTTTTTTCTAAGTCCTTACCCTCTGTACCCACCCAATGTACATCATTTAGCCAGTTTATAGATAATAATACTTTACATAAAAGAACAAATTGTTTTGGAATCCCTTCAATCACTTTAGCAATGGATGCCTTGATCAAAAAATTCCTGCAACTCACTATGGGCCCAAAGATCTCATCAACTCCACAGAACTCCAGGCTCAGACCCAGCTCACAAATAAGGACATTGCATTTTTTTTAAATGGCTTCTTTAATCCAGGCTGCTGTTCCCCTTCCTGACTGAAACTGAATGCAGGCAAAATGGAGTTGGCAGGGGAGTTGTGTGTGGCTGGACGTAGAGGCATGCCCCGAAGCCAGATGTAGCCTTGTGTCTCCCGCTGCTCTTGTATTCAACACAAGGAACCCAGACCCCAGGATAAAGGACTGTCACCAGGAGAGCTCTCCTGGCTCATTCAACCAAGTTCTGGTGGTTTCCTCCAGCAGGGAATTACCCACAGGCCCAGGCACAAGGTCTGAGACCTGGGCTCTGCTTCCTTATGTTGATGTAACATGGTCTTGGCAGGGCCCTACCGCACATGGGGCACTTGACATGCGTATGTTTTGATTTTGTGGTGCCTGCATGGAAACTAGAGCTGCCTGTCAAGAAAATTAATAAAATGGATGTGACGCTGATTCTTCAGTGTTATTACCAGCAGAGAGAAAGAACTTCTGTCCAACTTTCCTCAAGACCCTGAAGGGCCTCACCTCTGGAGCCAAGGACGTCCCCTCCAGCCCAGCTAATACCACTGCCAAGTTCCTATTTAGGAAGAGCCTGTGGGAGAGGCCCGGCTGGGCCCCGGAGTAACTGAAAACACATTTCCCTCCTAGGGTTATGTTACCGTGTTATTTCTGCCCCGGGCCAACTCCTCTGTGTTTAGAGGTAGCTCCCTGAACGTGGCCTCTTGACATTCAGGTGGTCTTTGTGTTGGAATTTCCTAAGGCACATGACCTGGAAATAACAAGGTTTACCTTCATATACTTTTTTTTTTATTTAAAAGAAGGACAGTGTTAAGCATGTGTTCCCATTCTGTCATCATAGTGTACTTACCCTCCAAACCCCCAGTCATTGTCTCTTTGAGGTCATAATAAACACCATGGTGATGTTCTCCTCGGCATGTTTTATATATTATCTCTCATTCCAGAGGTCACAAAGCCTTCACTTATTTTTATTTGGTGGTGGGAAGATTGAAGAGAGAATCTATAAATGGCTGAGTGTTTACAGAAATGTGCTTCCTTCCCCAATGTCCCCCATGTCCTATAGCAGAGAATTCATTAGCACTTCCACAGAGACAGGCAGGCCTTGAGGATGGAGAGAGGTGGGACAAGGCTTTGGCTCATTTGATCCTTTAAGAACACTTAGCGTTTCTGGAAGCCAGAGGTGGAGTGTGAGCTCAGCCTGTCCCTTGCCCTGGGCATGTACAGTGTCTGTTTCTTGGTTCTGCAGAATGCGTTTTACTCTGCCCCAGCTGAGCAGAGAGGAAAGAGGAATAAGACTGAAATTATGATATATCAGAGGCAGAATCACAGTGGCTGCCCACTGGGCTTTTCACGTCCATGAGACCAAAAGCCAAGGCTGGAAGTAAGGACAACAAAGTTCAACAAAAGAGAGACGGGGTACTGGTATGCAGAGGTTATAAAAGACACCCAGCCCAGAGGTACCAGGAAATTATGGGGAACACTTGTTTATACCCCCGAACACTGTTGCTTGCAAAGTTCCTTCCCCTGGGGCCTCATTGTCCCTGAAAGCCCAGCCCCCATTTTGGATATGTCATCTCATAATTGATCTAAGCTTTTGAGGAGTCTATATTTTTAGCCCACATCCTTGGGGGTAATGCATTCAAGTGCACTAACTACTGTTAAACACTTTTTCTGGTTATTTGTATTTAATTTGCTCCATTTAACCTTCAAGGCATGCCCTCTACAGTTTCTGGTGTGCTGGGGTTTATTTAACAAATTCGTGCTAACCTTATAGCCAATACTTTCACACAAAAAAAGCACAGGTTGGGCAGTCAAGGGTCCTCTGATCCAGCAGCCTGTTAATGAGAGGCTAAGCATTTTTGCCAGCAGCACCCAGATTTTGCCGAGTTCCTTTAAGGAGTGAACGTGATCATCTGGTTACATCTACATGTTAACCAGGTGATCCCCTACCACCGACCTATCAGGTTCAAGTGAGAATCTTCCTAAAGTCTTCTGTCAAGGCCAAGACCATGAACCTATTTAGCCTATCTGCCATTGCCTCATAACTGACCACACTTACCCTCTACTTGGCTTCTTCCCTTGGATGTATTTTAAGATCCATTGATTTTTTTTTTTTCTTTTTCTTTTGGTTTTAAAGTTCTAGCATGTAATACTTAAGTTTCTCTTCAGCATATGTGGTTTCAAGTTGGGGCTTGACCTGCCATCTCTGTGAATTGTGCTGTTATTCTTACTAGGATTAGCTGTCCTTGGACATGATAAATTGTGTGGTGGGTGTTGTGTATAATTTAGAGAGTGATTAACTCTTAACATTTCTTTTCAGTCTACACTGAATCTTCAAATTTAGCACATTTAAATCATTCTCGGGATTGCCAACTATTTTAACTCTGCTAAGCTACCATTTATGCACATGCACACACACAGACACATCCTGGAACATGGCATGCACTCCATAATTATTTCTTGGTTGAATGAATCAATTATGAAATCGGAGAAAGTATGTGATGTCCTTCTTGTATTTCTTCCCCCTGTTTTACAAGATTTGGGATTTGTGGGTGAAATGTTACTTAACATTGATCACAACATGGTCTCCTCTATCACATTTTCTGTTTCTGAGTGAGGAAGCCATAGGATAATCAGGTCCACATTATTCAAACTATATCCTGGCTGAGGTGGACTTTGCTGGACATGAAAAACATTTAGTCATTATTGATATTACTATATTAAGATAAACACTCAGCAATTCATAGTCTTGGTGCTACTTGCAGCCAAAAGAATCATTTTAGTACCTTTATTTTGGGTTATGTTGAGGCACAGGTGTGTTTCTTATATGCATGTGTGAATACATTATGGTTTAGGAGCTGGAACTATAAATCAAGACTCTAATAATAGCTGAACCATAGTGAGTTCTGTGTGCTCACTCCTAGGCCAATTGCTTTATATACATCAGACATTTACTTCTCACAGTGACCAAACCTAAAACTGGCACTATTATCACTGCCACTTTCCAGTGGCAGACACTGTGGGTTATGAGAAGTTCAGCAGCCTGTATGAAGGCAGAAAGCTTAGAATTGACAAATTCATGTGTCAGACCAAGCAAACTGGTTCCAGGTACTTGGGTACACAAAGAGGAAATACAGTAAATGGTAAGGGGACCTTCGCTAGTGCCAGCATCTTAGCTTTCTGTAGTTTATGGAAACGGTTGCTTTGGTAGAGATTCCCTGGGTACCTCCTGTATTCCAGACAGGGTGCTAATCTCACTGTCCTCTTCATGGCTAGGAGGCACTCCTAAGCTTCAGGAAGCTTCTGTTATGACTGGGATGTGTGGGCCCACATTTGCAAGCCCCATTCTCTGGGGCTTGTTGGCCTTTCTCTCTGGTCAGCTCTATAAGGGCAGAAGTCACTGCATCAAGACATGTGAACCTGGGCTGGGATGAGTCAGGCTGGGGAGATGCCCCAGGTTTTCCAGAAAGAAGTGACGTCACTCACTGCTGTATTCAGAGGGTAAAACTAATTGGCTTCAGTCAGTGCTTTCTGGAGAAAACAAACAGTTCTTAT